GATAATAGTAATAATATCAAGTGATATAAAACAAATCTATATAACTGAATAAAATTAAAAAGGAAAATTATAGAAATAATAATGATAATAATCATAAGAAAAAAAACAAAATGATAACAAGAATTTAAATGATAATAATGATAGGAATAGCAACAAAATGAGAAATATGATAACAATAATGATGATAATGATAACACTAATAAAGATAACAGCGATAATGATAATATCAAGGGTAATGATAATAATAATCTAATAATGATAATGATAATAAAAATAATTATAATGATAATGATTATGATCCCAAAAATGACAATAACGATAGTTGTAGTACCAACAGTAACAATAATAACAAATAGTAATAATGTCTGTGGTACAGAGGATGTTACTATGATAACAATTACGATTACATTCATGTTTACGATATTTCATTGGATTATAGAGAAGCAGAGGGAACGGAATAGAAGAGAGAGAGAAAAAAAGAGGAAAGGCCAAGAGAGTAGGAGAGAGAGGTTGAAAGAGAATAAGGAAAAATGTGAGAGATGAGTAGAAAGGAGTGTGTGGATATGGGTGTTAGGGAGTTAGGGAGCGAGGTACTACTCCCTTGAATGCTCATTTAATTGGTTACCAGTGCTCATTTGCATAACTTTGGTGTATGTGTTTTCTCGTGATTAATGAGAATAGATACTGAGCATACGTGTGTATGTCTTTATATGTGTATTTTATTTCTATAATTATGATTAGGGAGCAAGTGTGCGTGCATGTACTTAAGCGTGTGAATCCCTGCATGGTTGGTTTTGTTGTTTGTTCTCATGAATGAGTGAGCGATCTTGCGTGCGGGCGTGTGTGCTCGCGCTGTGTTCATTTACATGTTTGTGTTTTGTATGTGGATGTGTGCGTATGCGTTTGCAGTGTGTTCGTGCACATGTGTGTGGACATGTGCACGTGTTACTGCAATATTTTCTTTTACATGTGTGTGCGTGTGTCTACATTTTCTTTCATGTACATGGGTGCGTTTTGTATGGAAATATGTGCGTGTGTTTCCGTTTTGTTCATGTGCATGTGTGTGCGTTTTGTATAAGAATGTGTGCGTGTGTTTACGAGGCAGGTTGTTATTACAGTACATTATCAAGGGCCTTCGTTTGACGAAAAAATAGCATTATTTCTCTTGCTTTGTCCAATCTTGTTTCTCTCTCTCTCTCTTTGCTCTGTCCAATATTGATTTCTTTCTCTCTGTTCAATCTTGCGCTCTCTCTCTCTTTCTTTCTCTAGTGCTCTGCTCTCTAGTGCCCTTGCTGTCTCCTTTTCTCTTGCTCTCTCTTTCTCTTTCTTTTTTTTAGTACCCCGGTCTCTCTTTTATTTCTTCCCCCTTCTCTCCCTCAATATCCCTTGCTCAGGTGAGAGATAATGCATACTTGCAATGTATCTGTGTAAGCGAGTGACAATGAGTGAGTGAGTTTATGAACAAGTCTGCCGGCACTCATGATAACACTTCACCGACTGCGCTTAGGGTTTGGTGAGTCAGGGCGCTGAGGTTATGACTAAAATATAATTGTTTTAATGCTGAAGATCATCATACCATGAAAAGAACAAAACTATTGGAAGTAGCAAATTTATAATGATATTAATAATGTTAATGGCAATAACTGTGACAAAACATGAATAATGATTATCATAATGGTAATGGTAAGGTGATGAAGATTGAAGGGTTTAGAGAGAATCAGACAAGCGGACAGGAAGACACACAATAACACACACACACAGAAAGCCAGTCAATAAGATAAATATATACAAATAAACATATGCACATAAACAAAGGCTAACACACACTGAAACAGCAATAGAGAAGAGAAAGAGAGAGAGAGAGAGGGTGCGAAGCACCAAGGTCGACAAGCAAAAACAGAGATAGAGGAAGAGGCAGAGAGAAGAGCGAGACGGGAAGAGAAAGCGAAAGAAAGAAAAAAGAAGTGCGAGAACATATATGCTTATGCATGGCTGTGTTTATGAGTCTATGTTTGTGCCTGCGTTTTTTCTGTGTCTATACACTTGTGCTTTCTCTGAGTGCCTGTGTGCTATTGAGTGAGTGAGACAAGTGTCTGTTTACCTGTTTATCCAAGCTCACTTCTATGGCCTGGTGCGTATGTATTGTATGGTGCGTGTTTAAGTGTCAGTGTGCGTGTGGGTGTGTTTGTGAGTGTGTGCGTACGTGTATGTTTAATTGTGTGTTCGTGGGTGTGTGTTATGCGCGTGTGTGGGTGTCTGTGTGCGTGCGTATGTACATATGTGTGTGCGTGAACGTGCGTGCGTATGTACATATGTGTGTGTGAACACGCGTGTTTGTGCGTACGTGTGTGTGTGCGTGCGTGCGTGCATATGTATGTGCAGTGTGGCAGGTATGTGTGTGTGTGTGTTACGTATGTGTTTCTGCTTGTATATGTGTTTGTGTGCACGTATGTTTGCGAGTGCGCGGGCGAACCAGAGAGATGGGCCCTCCAAGAATGATGGTGAGCTCGGGGTGTGAGGCAGACGACCACGATGCCCTTCATTGAAGAGTACTGAGGGAGTGAGGCTGCTCCTCCCAAGAGCGAGGTGTTGCTCCTTGGTGTCTCGCAGGCTGTCTCCCTTGCATCTCGCATGTCATGTCTTTGCCATGTGGCAATCGACGATGAAGAGGGACAAACATATTTTGAGATAATTCGAGGCTGGAATGTATCGTGAGGCTAGAAGAGTGAGTAACAGGTACAGAGAGAGAGAGATAAAAACATCAATGGAAATAAAAAATATAATGATAATATCTTTAATGATGATTTTGACAGTGTCAACAAAGATAATAATGCTATTAATGATTAATTACATCAATGATGAAATAACAAGCAAATTAATAATAATAATAAAACACAATAAAGGTAATAATAATGCTAATAATAATAATAATGAGCAATGACGATAATAATAATAATGAGCAATGACGATAATAATAATGATGACGATATTAACAATAATGATATTACTAACAATGATAATGATAGTAATAATATCAATACTACTACTACTAATACTAATGATATATATTGACAAGACAAAGATAATGATGAAAAGCATAGTAGTGACAAAAATCATATAAAAGAATCAATAAATAACATTGGTAATAATTATTATAATAATAATGATGATAATGATTATGGAATAACCATATTGATAAGGGAAATAATAATAATAATAATAATAATAACAGTAATAGCGATGATGAAGAAAATCATTATGGCCGAATAACAGTGATAATAATGATAATGAAAATGGTTATGAAAGAAGAACAACAGTGATAATAGTATTAATAATGAAAATCATTATCAAAGTAATACATCACACACATATACATACCTAAACACACAAACATACCTATACACATACATATGCACACATACACGTAAACAGAAATAGATACACACAGATACATATATACATCACACACATACACTCACAAATATAAACATACATAAATGCACACACATACATATTCTTACACACAAAGAATTGTTTAAAATTGACACCGTGGCAGTAGCAGGATGCGAGGAAGATAAGAGAGAGGAGCGGGCGGGAGAGAACGGGCAGGACCGAGGGTAGCCTTGGCTCATCACGGCGAGGGAAGGACATAAGAAGAGATACGGGGAATGGAGGAAGGGGAAAAAGAAAAAAGTGGGAGGGAAAAGTGAAGAGAGAGAGGAAAGGAGAGATGGGAAGCGGGTGAGAGAGAGTAGGGAATACTAGGGAGAGTGAGGGAGAGAGAAAGTGAAGAAGGGGGGGGGGTGAAAGATAGAGTGAGGGATGAAAGGTGGAGGGATGAAGAGATAGTGAGTGAGAGAGAGAGAAAGAGGGGGGGGGGGAGGTGGAGAATTGAGAGAGAGGGAGGGGGAAAGAACGAGAGAGGAGAGTAGAAAAAGAAAAAAAATAGAGAGCGAGAGAGAGGGGTTGAAAAAGAGAGTGAGAGAAAATAGATAGAGAAGGGGGATAGAAAGAGAGGGAGAGCGAAGATAGATAAAGAGCAAGAGAAAGGGGGATAGTATAAGAGGGAGAGCAAAGATAGATAGCAAGAGAGATGGGGTTAGAAAGAGAGAGAGAAAAAGATAGAGAGAGAAGTAGAAAGAGAGAGTGAGAGAGAAGATAGAAAGCAAGAGAAAGGGGATAGAAAGAGAGGGAGAGCAAAGATAGACAGAGAGCCAGAGAGATGGGGGGTGGAAAGAGAGAGATAAAGAGTGAGAGAAAATAGAGAATGAGAGAGAGAGGATAGAGAGAGTATACATAAGTACGATTTGTGAAGCATTAGACATAGACCGCGTGGCTGTTTGCCACGTGGCTTGAAGTCCGCTGACTTAAAATGAGTTCATCTGAGCTTGTTTGGACTCTCAGACGTGCCCTAGCTCCCGCGGGCTCAGGTCATCTCATCAGACTCCCGCCCCCACAGGGCTAGTCGGCGCCGCGACCCCCGCACTCGGCACTTAGCCAAGACTCGGCTCGTGTGTTACTATCACTTGTTGTACTCTTCAGAAATAAAGAGTCAGCCGTTATAACCACTATGTCTACCCCCAGCAAACTGATATTTAAAGGTCATCTATAGCCTTTTACACAGAGCGAGAGGGAGGGGATAGAGAGTGAAAAGATAGATAGAGAGAGAAGATAGATAGCGAACGAGAGATAGAGGGATAGAAAGAGAGGCCGTGGCGGAGGGAGATAACGGATAAACGATGATGACTTGAAGAAAAGAAAAAATGATGAAGAAGGAAAAGGATTCACATATATAAATGTGTATATATATAAATATATAAATATATATATATATATATATACGTATACATATGATATATACATATGTATGTATATATGTGTGTGTATGTTGGTATATATATATATATATTGCATTGATTGTTGTTTTCTCTGTATTACTGGAAACAACACATGACGTCTGTGAATCATCGTGGGAATCCCATTTCTTTATAGTGGCTTTA